GTATAAAAACATATCAATTCTAAACTTTGCACGTTTATTAAATAACATTTCAAATATACCCTGAATTTTTTTCAAACAAAAATATTTGTTTGTTTTGGAATTAGTAGTCCAACCAGGATGCCTAAAAGAAAAAATAGCGAACATGATTTGACAGCCATTATAGTCATCTGAAATAAAAAAAAATCAAGAAGGTTTTTAATCTGTATAAATGTGGTTATCGTGTGAACTAAAATTAAATCGATATTTGCAAAATTCAAATTTTGCGACTTACAAAACTAACCAGTTTTTTAGTGAAAAAATGCAATTTTTTTTTTTACTCTTTTTTTATTTTTCTATATTTTTTTTATTCTAGTTTACGCGATAGCTACACTTATACAGATTAAAAATCTTTTTGGCTTTTTTTATTTCAAATGACTATAACGGTTGGAATCATGTTCGCCACGAACAACAATTTTTTTTAAGACACCCTGATTGGACTACTATAACTCCGAAACAAACAAATTTTTTTGTTTGAAAAAAATTCAGGATATACTTGAAATGTTATTTAATAAACGTGCAAAGTTTAGAATTAATACGTTTTATACTTTTCTTTTAAAAAAATTCCCCAAAGTCGCCTTATTTTCAGAGTATCGAACTTAGGAAGACCTCTTAATTCGGTACACGCATCTTACTATTTCCACTCTACAAAAGCGAATGGTAACCGCCGTCTTTGTCGTAACGCGTTTCTCGAGACTGAGAAAAAGAGAAAATGGATGGCAAAAAAAATATGTAGAAAAGAAAAGGAGAAAGAAAAATCCCAAAGTATTGTTATTAACACGTGTTTGCTGGTTATGTCGATCAAAGTTTTACGTTATATGTTATACTTAACTTTCTTTCTTTCGCGAACATGAAGGGTTGCACATTATTAATAAAGTTAGGCCAAGTTCAAAGGGTCAAGGGTAAAAGAATTTAAATCTGGAAAGGACGACGCCTTTAAGTCTCTCCACGAGAAGGTCTTATAAAGAGATCCTTTTACAGAGTAAAGTGCATGCGACCTTATTTTTACACCCAACCTCGCAGACTGCCGTTTCCCCGAACAGCTCATGATTTATCACCGGGATATTTTTGCAATGCACGTGACGGCCACGTGCCGGCGAATAACAACTGACACATGTGTATGTACGCGACGCGGATCGAATTGCAACGTTTTAACGTAATGATGGTAAGCGTTTGTTTCGCGTCATTACGAGACGCACTCTCTTCGCATGCCACCCACGCACCATTTTATATCGTGTTCCGTAAAACCTTCGCGGCTTCTGTGCAAAGATTAGCGACGTGATACAAGTCATTTTGATACCAATGAATCTGCAAATAATTAGAATGTGAATATAGAAGTTTCGCTCGCATTGCGCGCTCTGTAACAAAAGAGGAATGACAATTTTTTTTTTGGACGATGATAACCATAACATCGATCGCTTTAAATTGTAAGCAAGACGACTATTTTAGTTTGATTAACGATAACGTGAATGGTAAGTGAAAACGTTCATGAGGATGGGACTCAGAACGCTCGTTAAGCTAGGGAAGAATCGAGTAGTCTCATCAGGACGCAAAAAGGTTCTCTCTATCTCTTCTTTTGTCCTCATTGAGTTTTTCTTGACGTCCCATCGAACAACTCGATTTTATAGAAGCGCTGGTCTTCTTAATCCTCAGCGGGCATATTTACATCCCGCTAAGAACACACTGGGATACTGTAAGAGCACGAGGTATTTTCTTTTTTTTTTTTTACAAGACTTGACTTGTACTAAGTGTTGAAGCAGTAAAATCGACATAAAGCACCTTGAAAGAAAAGCTATCTGTTTTTAAGAAGATATTTGAATATTTCAAGAATCTCCTGCGAATACAAATTTTAGCAATTTTAATCGCGTTGATCTCGCAAGCCCGACAATTCTTGAATATTTATCCTAACATTAGGTTAATAATATTCCAATAACATTCGTGCAACGTAATTTTAAGCTTTTTCCCGGGCGATAATGCGTCGGAATAATTCATCGGGATCTATCAACTCTACAGCCCCCGTTTCTCAAAGAGAACATCAGAAACCTCAAAGGCTAACTCGCTCGTAATTTACTCAAAAATTTCGTCACGTCCTCTCGCGAGTTTCGGGAACTTGCGAGCTATCTCATCTGCCCGGTTATGTTCCATCAGCCCATGGTCCCGGTGCAATTTGACGGTCTACCGATCGCGATTTTACAGCTTATACCCAACGAACGAGGTCTATTATATCGTAAACGTCGTCGTCATCGTCTCAAACGCGCGATCGAGGTGAGAAAAGATGTTATAAAAGATTTTGCCGGGGCTAAAGTGTCTCGGCTAAGTGATCGATAAGCTATCCGTGAAACGGCAGGAAACAGTTGAATTTACGATCTTGGAGAGGAACCTCTTCTGCGCGGGCGCGTCGAGAAACATTTGCGAAGCAAAGCGTAAAACGCGCGCGGATTTGCAGAACGTTATCCCGGAGTCGAGGTCGGGGATTAATCATAGTGATCCCCCGTACACGCGGAAGCTCGAGTAATCTCCGCGAACGATCTAGATTCAAGCAGTCATTCTTGAGTTTATCACGACAGGCGGTCGATTATTTTCATATTTTATAATTTATAATTTTATAATTTACCGGTTTTATATCATTTTCACAGAAATCATTAATTTTTAAAAATGTTTGTGAATTAATTCACAATTTTTAATCGTGATGAGAGAGTACAGAGGTCATAGAAATTTTTTCTTCAAATAGGGGGGGAATAATAATCGAGTAATATATTAAACGAGAAATCATTTTTTTAAATAAAAACTTTAGAGAATTGATTGGATGACGCACGATAGGTAATGCAATTTTATTCTGGGAATAACAATAAATAGCGGAGTTTTACGCACCCCAAAACTTAAATAAAGTAATAACCGTTCAAGATGTATTTTATAGCGTTGCCGCGCATTAAATTCTCAGTCGCGGAATACGAAAGGGTTGTTAAGCCGCTGCTAACCCCAATTGCCGCGGATGAGCCTTTTCTGATCTTCACCAGACTAATCTACGACAAGACGGTGAAAGTGCTCCCTTACAGTTCTTCGTTTACGATCCTCGTGGGCTCCATAAGGCGGCACGTCTTACTACGAAGAGCGGAAATAGATTGCGGACAGCTGTCTTCGTTTCGGCACTTGAAAAAGAGAAGACATTTCTTTTCCCAGAATGCCGATTGCCAATGATAACTGACATCGTCACATAATATTTCAATTCTATATTTAATATATTTATTATATTTATTTATTATATTATATTTATTTTGCATATCTTTTTATATTTTCGTACACTTACAAATATTTTGACGAAAAGAGACAAAAGGAAAGCTAATACAATAAAGAGCTGCAAAAATCAGCGCGATAAAGAAATTGAGGGGGAATATTTTGTTTCCCCGCATACGGAAAATCGATCTAAACTCTCCGTGGAACTCGTCTCCCAAAAACTTGCGGAATACTTTTTGCGAGAAAGTTACCGAGAATCGCGCGCACCAGGAACGTCACCCAAGTGAAACGCGATCCCCAACTTTGGGGAAACTTGGCGAAAACGCACGCGGTGAAGATGCATTTTAATATTTCGCTTTGACGGCGAATCAATGAATAAATTATATAGAGAGGATGCATTTTAGAGACTCGCAGACTACACGTAAAGCGTTTTCCGTTTGAAATTCGGCTCGCGCGACAAGACGCGGAGATTATAATATTCCTTTGCGAACGACAGGCGACAGCCCCCTCTTCCGCCGTCGTCCCCTTCATTCGGTTAGAAAAATATTTCAGCGCGAAGGGAATTTGCGGGGGAAACGAACGTCTTGAATATAAACCGACTTGCCGGAGGAAGACGGGGGGAGATCCCGTGGTACACGTCGCCCGCGCGAGGAGTGTCGCCGGAGGGGGCCGACGGGGGGCTGCCGGATGGACGCAGCAGCGGAGGGCCGGGAGCGCGCTATCCATTTTCGTTCGGGATCTGAATTTCAGCCGTTTTCTGAACCGCAAACTCTCGAGATCCGGAAGCGGGAGAGAGTCGACTGCTGAATCTAAATCCGCCGCTGCTAAATCTGCCGCTGCCAGCAACGATTTCCTTCCTGCCACGAGACGGCTCCGCTTATCGTCCGCGGATTTCTTGGCCCCCTCCGCGAGGTAGAACCAACGAAGAATCACGCCCCAAGCCCGATTCATTAGCCTCCCTTTCGCGACAGAGGATGTTCGATTTTACTTCCAATCATCTCGCATTTTCGCAGCTCCCACAATTCGGGAACATAAATTTGCGGAGAATACGTGATAAGATAGATAAATCTCTATCTCCATCTCTCTCTCTCTTTTCCAAAAAAATAAGTTTATTTAATTAAAATAATATTATTTATAAAATTAAATAAACCGAGTTTAAAAGAACCAACCATCTTTGAATGATACTCTATCCATGTAAAAAAAAATTAATTCGGTATCTCAAAAATTGCGGAAGTTAGAGGTTGTACAATATATCGCGTACATACATACATACACACACACATACACGCACACACACACACACGCGCGCGCACACACACACACACACATACATACAGACATTTTTTAGGAATATGATTTTTCGACGTTTTGAAACATTCTAAACACATTGGCATAGAATACTCGAAAAAAAATTTTGTCACGAAAACAAAGCTTCCTCTATGAGGAAGCAAAAAAACATATTAAATTTTATAGCAATCGTTAAATTCTAGACTTTCAAAATTTCTGCGTTTAATTAGACATTATAAAAAATATTTTATTTGTGATAGAATATTATTTTGTATGATAGAAATAAATTGCGCGAATATTTTTCACTCTACAAAGCACATAATCTCGATTATAATTTCCCGAACGCAGTATACGAAGAAATATATATATATATAAATATCGCTGTGACAAATATATTAGAGATTTGCGGAATACATACTGTTTGTTTTCAGGATAGCATGGAATAGTGCAGCTGCCGCTCGAGGATGGCGGCGTACAAATTGTCATGGAAGAACACGTTCGGATTCCTCGGTGAAATAAGCAGTCGCAGATATCGAGAGTAGTAAAGCCGCTTATTCGGTCCGACAGACTTGTTCAGAACTCTCCGAACTTTCGAGGTGCTCTCTCTCTCTGGCAAAATGAAACTTTTGTCGCACCTGTTGCACGACAGGTGTAATTTTGACGGATACTCGCACGTCCTCGATCGTAACGTGAAACCATTCGCTTCGCGATTCGTCAAATCACCCGTCTAACGATTCCTAATTTTTAGCAATAATCTTTTTTCTAAGTTCTTTCAAACTAATTACGACTTGTGTGAACGAGATGCGCGAGATGTGCGGACAGTGGTTGAGTGAAAGAGTTCGAAGATGGGCCCGTGTATACGGTGGGACGGGAAAGCTCATCGCTAGTTGTGAAAGGTGCTGAAGAGAAACAAGGGAGAGCGGCAAGATGGTGGACGTGTTCAACATGAGTAAGATTCAAAATATTTGCCTGCTGCCGGAGGAACAGGATCTACTAGAGGATCCTCGAACGCCGACTTTGAGGAGGATCAGTTACGGCATCGTGCTGCCGACCATTTGTTGTTTCGGTATCATCGGAAACATCTTGAATCTCGTCGTCCTCACGAGAAGAAACATGCGCGGCACCGCTTACATCTACATGCGAGGTGAGCATCATCTATCTATAATTATTTATTTCCTTATCAAAGCCTTGTTTTCTCACGTTTCTGTGTCCCTAAGATTTTCATTATTTTTATAAGAACATTTTTTTTTTTTT